GATACTTCCAACAGTGTTTTCATAAAACACCAATTTAGATTGGTTTCATCTGATCCAGATCATGAATCCTCGAGAATGAACTGGTTCACATAAAATATTGAAAACCGACCGGTTCCCCCTTTTACACGGTCACCTCTTTAATAGGCCGATTCTTTTAAGAACTGGCCTGCTCTAGCATGAACCGGATAACTAAACTAGATCCCACTTTTTAGAAATTGAAATTTGAAAAAAATTTCAAGTAGGGCGGACCACCGATACATTCATTTGAAAACCTCCTACCATTTTACTTTCATACTTTCTAATTTTATTGCGCCACACGTGGTGCCTTACCAGGACTCAACGTTTTGGATTTTTTTTTTTTTTTTAATGTCAAAGATAAATCCCATTTATCTTAATAATATTTAAGAAAATTGTTTCATGTTGGTTGGATTTCATTTCTATATATGCGATCCAAAAAGTGTAAAGCATTCATGTTAAAGATGGATGCAAATAACTGTTTCAACTATAAACAATGGAAATTAACGATCCAAATGTCTTCTTACTATAATTATTATTTATAATATTTAAATTTTATTTATTTTTTCAATACATGATATCCATGCTAGAGATTACATGTCATTAATAACTAAGCCCAAAAATCCATCTCAAAAATAGATTTATTAAGAAGCCTGCATTTCTACATATACGGGATTGCCGCATAGAAACCGGGACATAATATTTATTTTTATAATATTAAATTGGAGTGATAAAGCATTTAAAAGGAGGATAAACCTTTAATAGCCAAATCAACCAGTTAAAATTTACCCCAAAAGTTCAGCAGGTTAAATCAAAGTGGGTGTGGTTTGTAAAATCCACTGTTCTAAACAATTAAAATATGGCACACATTTAAATGGTACTGAAATATGTTGTTTTAATATAAAAACCTTTATGATGGTCTGAAGACTTTTATATTTTTATCTAATGATAAAATTTAAAGTTCAAAAACTTTGGATCGAGTAGATCTATGTGTTGGGTTTATGTGACCTTTAAAGGCCTTATGAGTGCTTGTAAAATGAAATGATATAGTGGAACATAAGCTTAGTGGGAGGGGAGTGTGGTCCCTCGTGGACCATACTAAATAAACGATGGTTTGCTGATACCGATTTGTGCTTAACGATTTAGGCCAGTCGATTGAAAAAACCCATGTTACCTGCACATAAAGAACAAACCGATAGGGGTTCTAATGGGTTAGCCCTTGGTGAAGTCGAAAAATATGCTCGAATGAGTAAGCCAAGGGACTGTGAGACCCTTGTGTGTGATGGTGGCCTACAGAGACAGGAGTTAAAGCCTCATCCATATGCCATCACACGGCATGCATATCGATAAATTATTCGGGAAAGCCAGATATCCACATTTGGGTGCAGCGTATGCATGTGCGAGAGATACCCCTATGCGTCATGGAGCTGTGGTCGCATCAGGTTGTGGTGACCTTGACGCGTCTCTAGGGGAGGACCTGTAATCCACATACTGGGATTGCGACCCCTTGATTCATCAACCTGACTTTGGTAACCACCTAATGAGCCCCGGCTTTGATTGTGAGTCATGAAAAACATTGAGTCGGTTTGATAAAGCTAGTGTGGTCTATAGTCCACAGTTGAAGGTGGAGTACCTCGTTATTACAGATTGGATTCCTAAAACCATATGGATCATTTTCTCATCATATTAATTTAATTGTGTTTATTTTATTCTTGAAATGATTTTAGTTTTATTATTTGAATTTTTATGAATCTCTCAATATTTTATTTGTGATTTTTGGACTTATAAAAATACAATTATTATTCTTACAAAATTATAAAAATTCAAATATATATTTTAAAATGTTTTATTCAATTTTTAAAATAATATTTTTTTATAATATTTCATAGGGGCCCATAGTGCACAGGGGCCCACCATGTGACATGTGGGTGGGGGCCCACATGTGCTACAAAAGGGTGGGACGCCCCATCCTCTTTGGATTCTCTTGTTTGCTTTTAAAATAAGATTAGTTTGATGTGTGGTATGTAGTCAAATCTTGGAAGGGATATATTGATATGGACCTTATCTTATTTATATTTGGTAGTATTTATCTACTTGATATTATTTAACATATCCTTATGAAATATGTGATATGGATCGTGCAATTTTATATAATGCATGATATTTATTTTATTTAAATATTTTGATGGGAAAATGGTTTAGGAAAAGGGGATAATGGTTCGGGCACCTTTCATTATGTTGATGGCCCATCTATGGAATGGATGGCTCAGATCTCTTACCCTTGATCGACGGTCTATGTTCAATCTCACAAGAAGAGACAAGGAAAATCTTAAGAAAGCCTAATCTTATTTAAAACCTATAAAAATCGATTGTCTCTACCCAAAAATCTCTACACCTTATCTCTTATACCTAATTCCCATATTTCTCTATCATATCCCCAAAAGGGGACACGCACCACTCTCTCGTATTTGATCTCTCTCTCCCATATTGTGAAATAACTTAATGGTTTAGGTTAAGGAGTTCTTCTATTCTATCTCTCAAATATAGATTTATGGCTCATTGTTTTAGGATTTAGCAAAAAGAGAATTCATCTCTCTCAAACTAGGTTGCTAAGAGAATTTACCTAGGGTTTGCGTTTGTGATCAAAGGATTCATATTCCATTTGTGTGGCTTAGACGAAATTTGCTTTCTCGGTTCGAAGTTGAAGCTAGACCGTTGATCCCATGCCATCGGATGGTAGTGACTCGGTGGGAGGTGTAATAAGCTCGGTTGAGGTAATCTCCAGCACTCTTCCTTTTGTTTCTTATAATCTTATCTTTTATTCTCAAGCATAGTGCATAGTTATTTCAATGATATCAAGTTGTTAAGATATTGATTTTATTTTGAAATTTATCTTATTATAATAAAGACCGATAAGTGATATTTTGCCAAAAGAAAAGGGTGAAAAAAATAAATAAATAAATAAATGTATTCCTCGGTAAAAGATCACATAGGTATTTCTTTCACTATGAATATTTGAAAATTGACAGTCAAGATAATACATTATTTTCAATACTTGAAGACTTCCTTTTTTCATGTCTATTGATCTTGAGGTTGAGAATATCAAATTGAGGGTATTTCACCATCATAACAATCTTTTTTAATGAATTTTTTAGGTGTGCTTTAATTTGATTGTTTAGAGCCTCATACGTACATAAGCCTTTTCCCATAAAAAATTGGCAACCATTTATTTCTCTTTGGCTTTACTTGGCCCACATTCAAGTCATGACTAGATGCATTGTATGTTGGATATTTAAGTCCACATTCAAAATTTAACAACCCTTTATTTCCCTTTGGCTTTATATATTATGATATTGTTTACAAAGAAGCCATTTATCTTTTGGACATAGATATCACAATCATTCAAATTGGATGGCTTGGGTAAATCAAGAAGTTCGAGAATATTTTTTTTTAACTTTGTGTGCATTCAATGATACTTTTACGATTACTTATTTTGAAATTTAAGAGAATAATGATTTATACTTATTAGATGTCAAATTGAATGGCTTAGAGTAAGTCGTAAAGTTTGAATTTTTTTTTTGGAACTTCGCATGCAATCAATGACACTCTTACAACCACTTAATTTAAAATTTAAAGGACAAGGATCATTGTGACCTCTATGTACAATAAATAAATAGTCTATTTGTAAACAATCCCATCTATTATATTCCTCATTGCAAACATAAATTTATTTAGGAAAAGTATATAATGAAACCGTTTACCTTTGATGCAAGGTGGTCATAATTAATCTTGACCATTGGATGTGAAATTGGGTGGGTGCATTTATTTCATTGACCAAGCTCAAAGTTCAAAAGAAATTTTTCTGAACTTTGTCACACACCCAAGCTATCAGAATTCACATCGGATAGTTGCAAGTTATTGTGACCTCCCTATACAAAAGGTAAATTGTCTCATTGTATACAATCCCATTTATTTATCTAGTTTTATGGTTCTACATAAAATGTGATTACCAGCTTGTATTTTCAAATTCTATATTTCTATTTATACTAATTATTATACCTTAAGTCTATTTATTTGGCAATATATACCAGCTTTCTTTCTCTCTCTACAAAATCAAAAGGTTCAAGACTTACTGTACATTTTTTTTTTTAATGTTTTTTCACTGTAAAAATTCGAGTTAGAAATATCCATTTTATTGCAATGAATTGTACTTTTTAATTTTATTTTGACTATAAAATAAATGTAATAGATAAATAACACTTGGACATTTGAGAGGTTTTCAATATTTATATAATTTTGAGTAAAATAACGAAATCGCAATGCATTACCAGTATTATTTTGGAAACTTAAACACTCGGATTTTTAAAAAGATTTATTGATGTTTTAATTTTTTTGAAGGTTGGATCAGGCCTATCTGTCCAATTCTCTGATCTGTACTGCCGATTCGACTCAGTTTTTCGGAGAGAGGATCCAAGTGCCCCAACAATTTTTTAAAAAACTTACTTTTCAGAATGGGTGCGGTTTGTATAGAGCCTAGGCTCTAAACAATCAAATTAGATCCTACCCTCAAATAGTGTCGAAAAATATAGTTTCAACACCAAAAATCTTTGTGATAGCCGCAAAATATATTTTCATCTTTATTTATAAAATTTAAATCTTAAAAAATAGTGTAAATCGACATATCTATAAAAACTTGAAAATTGGTGGTTAAAAAATGCATTACAAAATACACTATTTCTAAAATTTGAAACCTATTTTTTTCTCATGTCAATGTATCTTGATTTTGAGGTAATATGAAGATTTTTGAGCATCAAAACAACCTCTTCTAGTGAAATTTTTTGAGGTAGGTTTTAATTTGATTGTTTAGAGCCTCGGCCCAGTATAAACTTTTCCCTTTCACGAATTGTTGAGACTTGAGAGTATTATCGAAATTTATAATAAAGATGGGGTTTTTTCCCTCCTTTCACAAAACCGAAGGTCATAAAAAGGCCAGAACGTCTCGCGTCGCCCTCGTCTCTCTGCGATGTCTCAGTCAAATGACCAAACTGCCCCTGATCTGCCATGGCGAACCAGGATCGCCGTCTCCATTGGAACAACCGTCACCGACTTTTGCCGGCGAGATAACGGCACAATCAACCGCCGTCTCCTCAAACTCCTCGAACTAACCATCCCGGCAACCGGAAAACCAGAAACCGTCCACGGAAAACCAGGAACCACCGTCACAGCCAAGGACATTACCCTAGATCCAGCCAAAAACCTGTGGGTTCGCGTCTTCGCACCAAATGGAAAACCCGAAGGTAATGCGAAGAGCAGTTTTCCGGTCATCATTTACTTTCATGGTGGCGGTTTCACCTTTGGGTCGCCTGCCTCGAGGGGCTTCCACCACCTTTGCAAGCGGTTTTCTGGCGAGATTCCAGCCGTCGTGGTTTCTGTGAACTACAGGCTCTCGCCGGAAAACCGTTACCCGGCGCCGTACGAGGACGGAGTGGAGGTGATGAGGTGGATTTCGGGAGCCGGAAGGAAGTCTTCCGGCGATGGGGCGTTGCCGGAAAATGCAGATGTGTCGAGGTGTTTCTTGGCTGGGGACAGTGCGGGTGCAAATATCTTGCACCATGTTGGTACGTATGGTTCTTATGCAGTTAAGTGTGAGATTGATGAGAGAGAGAGATGACGAGTTTAAGTAAAAAAAGGAAATGTAATAGCTAATTAAAAATGGGATGATCATGTGTATTTTCAATGGATGCGGTTTTTACAGGGCTGAGGCACTAAATAATCAAAGTAAAGTGTATCTTTAAATAGTGAGGAAAAATGTGATTTCAATAATCAAAAGTAAAGTGTATCTTTAAATAGTGCGGAAAAATGTGATTTCAATAGGGGAAATCTTTTGGATAATTTTAAAATATAGTTTTATGTTTAATTATAAAATTAGAAGCTTAAAAAATAATTGAAAGCTTAAAAAATATGTGATAGCTTTTAAATATAGTTTCATATTTAATTATGAAATTGAAAACTTAAAAAATAGTGTAGATGGAGCAGCTCTATGAAAATTTGAAAATCTTGAAAATTGAATTCCAAAAATACCTAACAAGATTCACTATTTTCAAAACTTAAAATATATTTTTTCTCTCTCATATCCCTACTATTTGATGTCGAGATAATCAATTTGAAGACATTTGAGCATTAAAACAAACCCCGGTGAAATTTTTGAGGTGGGCTCTAATTTGATTGTTTAGAGCCTCAACTCTATTTAAACTTTTTCCGGGAAGGATATGGGACTTTCAATACACCTTGCTAGACTGTCTATCTTAAATCTCACCCTATCTAATGGCAACTTTTAAAGTGTTTTAACTCAAATTGTATTTTTACATTTTTGCTCTTCTTTCTTCCCATTCAAACTACTAGTCTCTCCTCTGTTTCAACTTCAAAGGTTGTTGTCTTAAAACTTGAGTGATCAAATTTTTGGGGAAATATTTGTATTAAGCTACAATGATAAACTCATTCACTGAAGAGGAATCAACAGAAATCTAATAGAGGCTTGGTTTTTTCTACAATTCTCCTGTTAATGGAGAAGAAAACGAAGTGCAAATACAAATTTGCAAAGGCTTAAGGTTTCCCTTTCATTGATGGTGCAGAGAAAGGGAGAGAAAACACAAGGTTGACTGGGTAGTCTCCCAACCTACAAGTACTTGTATAAGGATGCTACAAGTACTTGTATAAGGATGCTACCTTATAATGTAGAACTATATATGCCCCTCAAAAATCCATCGGAAAAGGTAGTTTTAACGTTGATCGATATGTATGACTATGAAAAATAAAAAGATTTTAAGTCTAAAAAATAGTACGTTTTACAACATATTCCCTATACAGTCCATTTTCAAGATTTTTATATGTTCATAGATGTACTTGATTTTAACCATTTTTTAAATTTAAAATTTTATAATTAGATTTAAAAATAGATTTTGAGATAATCCTAAGAACATTTTACATCAAAATTATATATCATGATCAAATTTGAAGGTGCACCTTACATCAAAATTATATATCATGATAAAATTTTGAGATAATCCTAAGCTCTTTTTAATGGTTGAAGATGGCGAGGAAGAGGGAGAAAGGTTGAGATTCATGAAGGGGGTAGCTCCTCTATGTGTGGGACTTATAGAAAGAAATATATGGGTTTTTCAATATAGTTTTAGGGAGTAATACATGGTTTTTAATCTTGCTTTGTAGATCCGGTTTTTGAAGAGCGAGCAATCTCGCTTGACGGACAATACCTAACTTTGTAATTTAACATATCATCTACACCATCCATTTTAGGGAACGAATAGTGGAGATTGGCTAGAATCAGATCTTATAGGCTTGTATCAAATTTATTTTATTCTTTATTTTTTTTCACTTTTATCAAGTATTACGCCTGCAATCATAATTATTCTTCTCATTGCTCTTGCAAACTCGATAAATTCTCATGTCCTCTTGCAAACTCGATAAATTCTCATGTCCATGCATCTTTAAATTCACATTTCCATACATCTTGAGGTTGAGATGATCAATTTGAGAAATTTTGAACATCAAAACGACCTCTTCTAGTAAATTTTTGAGGTGCATCTTAATTTGATTGTTTAAGGCCTACCCTTATATAAATTTTTCCATTGCATAGAGATTCTAAAGCAATGTATTTTCATACTTAACTGTACTACTGTTGCATAGGCTACCAAACCACGAAATCAGCGGATGAATTCTGGCCGGTAAAGGTTGCCGGTCACATTCTATTGCAACCATTCTTCGGAGGCGAGGAGCGGGTGCCATCGGAGCTCAGAATAACAAATGCGCCCATAATATCCATAAATCGTACTGACTGGCACTGGAAGTTCTTTTTGCCAGAGAATTCAAATCGAGACCATCATGCATCAAATGTTTTCGGCCCAAACTCGCAGGAAATCGGCGATTTGGATTTTCCGGCAAGTCTCGTGTTGATTGGCGGATTGGACCCCTTACAAGATTGGCAAAGAAGGTACATATTTATGGCCATTGAGATGGATAATGCTAGTTGATGCATTTACTTGGTGACTTTTATAGGTATTGAGATGAATGCTAGTTGATAAATCTACTCCTCGACATTTATGGGAAACTTTTACACGTGAGATCACCCACATATAAAACATACAATAAATTACATGTACCCCACAAGATGTAACTTCTTGACTTCTTAGACAACCTCCCCCCAACAACTTTTTAGATCATTCACTAAACCCCTCTACTGTTTTGTATAGCGTTTCAAAACAAATAAGCTCAAATGATGATGTAGTGCGTAACGGGAATGTGACGCCGAGGCCTACAAAAAGTGGCATTTTTATCTTTACACACTTTTTGACTTGGGGGAGTCTTTGCTGTAAAAGTAAGTTTTGAGGTAAAAATTGTAATTGAAAATAGAGTTGGGGAAGGATGTAGAGCAAGCTGAGTCAAGGGGGCTTTAGTAATTACTTATCCACGAAAATAAAAAGGGGGTTTTAGTAATTTTTCCCTAAAACATTTGTGACATTCCTCTGTCCAATAAAATCAAACAACTAGGAATAGAAATGACATACTTTTTATAAATAGGTGGCGCCACATATCGGCCAACTTAATGTACAATACTTTTCTAGAAAGAGACCAAGTTTGGCGAGTTACCTTTAGACCACAATATACACTTAGTCTCTTAGGAAAAGGACTTGGATGAGGATATTTTTTATCTTTATTTTTTACGATCCACTATAGATTCACCAAGTGAATTTTCAAAGGAAAAAGGATCTTGAGATTGTAACCACTCAGTTCCGACTTATATTAAGATATTTTGATATCTTCTTGTAACTTAATATGATTAAATTTTTGGTGAATATATAGCTTGTAATCCACTATAGGTGCTCTTGGGGGTGCATTTGTTACGGTGTGTTTACTATCCTAGGATCCATCTTGGAAATGGATGTGGGATCCAAAGTTTTGCAGCTCTATCGTCTATTCCACCATCATGATCATGAATTCACAAAAAACAAAAAAAATAAAACAAAAGATTGAAGATTTTGCACTTTTTATGACCGTTCATTTCAATTCTTCAAATATCATGAAATTCGCATTGTTTTTGGAGCTCCAAATCCATTAATATGTGGTCGGCATGGTGCAGTTATTTGGGATGTGTTTCGTGTTCCAAAACCTTCAAAAACCATGGGAAATGCATCAGCCAACTCACCAAATACTTTTCCAAAAAAATAATCATAGACTTCTAAGGAAAAGTGTAAAATGTGTTAATTTATCTATAGTATAAGGCGGTTACAATTAATCTTGACCATTGGATGTGAAATTAGGTTGCTGCATTTATTCTATTGATCAAGCTCAAAGTTCAAAATAATTTTTCTTGAACTTTGTGTCACACCCAAGCTATCTGATTTCACATCAGATGATCATAAATAATTGTGACCTTCTTGTACCGAAGGTAAATGGTCTCTTTATATACAAAAAGATGCGTGAACTCACAAAACGTGTCCAAAACATTTGGAATTTCACATGCATTAGTATTTCATTTTGCTTTCATTTTAATTTAATGATAGCTAATTTTTCTCTTTTGGTTGATTGTTATTTAAGGTATTTTGAATGGCTAAGGAAGAACAATAAGGTGGTGGAGTTGTTGGAATACCCTAAGGCATTTCATGCCTTTTATGCGTTTCCAGGGGCCAAAGAGATTAACCAGCTAATATTGGATTTAAAGGCGTTTATTCAAAAATATGAGGGATGAAATAAGTTAAATATTTCACCTTCAATCATTTACTTGATATTCATGTTAAGTGGAAGGTTGGCTTGCGAAGTTGTTGAGTCGTTATGCCAAGTAAATTAGAAGTTGAGAGTGTTGATATGTAAAAATATGAAAACCTTGAAGTGATTTAGATGAAAATTGTGTGCCTGCTTGCACTAAAGGTCGGCAATCGGACCGGGCTAGGATAGGGCCATCCTTAGCCCTGGCCCAGCCTGGTCTTGACTAGGCAGAGGCAGAAGAGGCCTTGGCCTTGATCCTGTCCTAACCCTGTAGGGTAGGGCTAGGGAAGGCCAAATATATTTCAAGAAAAATAAAGAGAAAAATAATAAGGTAAAACGGGTCAGGCTTGACAACACAAGGTTGGCCTTGTCATTGCCATGGCCTAGGCTCAGCCCTGTCCATTAGATTCTAAATCGGATGGTTGTAAGTGTGTTATTGACTAGACTCGAAGTTCATAAAACAATTTTTGAACTACGCGATACACTCCAAGCCATCCATTTAATGTCTAATGTCTAGAAATGATGGTGATCTCCTTACAACAATGGTAATAATCTCATAGTATACAATCCTCAAACAAAAAGTGAACAAATTGGGTTTGGAAAGTCTCACTTACTACAACAATGGGTCATTTGGCAAGAAAGATGAGAACAAAAAACAAAAATCATTAGCATCCGGGACACAATGCTTGTTCCATCAAGGGATGAGCGCAAAAGTATCATTGAGATAATATGGAGAATCAAATTCTATAGTCTTCATACATCACTTATACAGGTGAGATATACGCTCAAACCCCTCGCTAACTTCATGATCATCATCCCCTTGTTAACTTAACTATTAAAAAAAAATGAATGGATGGTAATCCTATAGAACTTGAAGACATTCTAGGCAGCATAAAGATGTCATTGAAGCCTATCAAAAATATGTAATTCCCTATGATCATAATTAGACTTAATGCTTCAGCACGTAAAAAATGACTTTTGAGTAGGGGTAGCAATGGTCCCGACTAGACTTGGGATCAAATAGGTAGACCCAACCTCGGGTTCAGGTATGGATTCAAATTTTAGATTCGAAAGGTTGGGTCTGGGTCCAAGACTTGGACCCAAATACTATTTGGGTCTGGGTCTAGGTCCAGTCGGACCCGACCTGAATAATATGGGTAATATGTGCATCTTCATAAATGTTGCCAAAACTATTGTTTCTTAGGAATTTCTAGTTATTATGTAAAACGGTAAAGAATGTGGGCATATTACATATGTGGGTATTTATAACTGTTGTGCAATACTGTAAATGTTGTTAATAATATGGGTATGTGCTGATAAACAAAGGGAAAAAAAAGAAAAAAAAAGCTCATTGTCATAGGGTGGTGATGGACCAAACCAGACCTGGGACTCAACATATAGACCAGACCTCAAGTTCAGATATGAGTCCCAATTTTGGACCTGAAAGGTCGGCTCCGGGTCTATCTGGACCCGACGCGTTGCCACCCCTCCTTTTGATAGGTTAGGGAGGGAACAAAACAAAATCACAAATCGTGTCTAAATCATCATTGTCCTAATAAGATTTGATTTGAGCTCCAAAAAGCTCGAATCCTTTAGATAGACCATCCATTCAAAAATAAATAATCTATTTTGATTTTTGAGTGACAAGAGAGTTTCAGAGCATAATGGGAGATCCAAAAATTTTTAATTTTTGTTATGGATCCAGTAGAGTAGTTAGCAGAGATTAAATTATTCTTTAAAAATAGATCAATATTAAGAAAAAATGGGCAAAAAGGTGGATTGGGACAGAAAATAGTGAAAAACCCAAAAATTGTGACTTGAAATTTCTTTGATTCTTGGATTAGATCAGAAAAAAAATTCACGACGGCCTTATAGAAGATTGAAAGCTAAAAAAGACAATAATTTCACAAAAAATGGTTGAAAATTGAGAGAGAAAATCAAAGAATGATGGATCAACCAACGTTAAAACTTAGATTTCTTCGATTTGGAGTGTTCATCCAATAATCTTCCATGTAGATATACGGCAAACAAATGCCTATGATAATGTAAAAAATTATTGAAAAACATTAGAAGAATTAGAAAAATACTGGATCGGGCATGAATAAAAGGAAAAAATAGCCAAAATTTGTCCTCCTGTTTTTTTTTGATTTGGAGGTTTGATCCACAAGCCGTTTATACAAATCTGATAGAGGGTTAAAAAATTGAAGAAAACGTCTTAAATGTCAGTAAAAATTGTTGAAAAGTGAGTGAAAAATGTTAAGTTTTTCATGGGGGTGTTCAATTGGGAGGAAATCAGGTGATTCTTCAAACAGAATCACCTAGCGATTCTCTATGAATCAAACTGATTTAAAAGAACAAGATCGCTCCCCTGCAGAATCTAATAATTATGTTGTAGATTTACATTTTTTCAAGGAAAAAGTTTATATAAGGATGCTACCTTATAATGTAGAACTATGGATGCCCCTCAAAAATCCATCGGAAAAAGTAGTTTTAATGTTGAAAAACCCTTT